ATATTTCAGCTTTTTTTATTTCTGAACAAGTTTTCATTTCACCCTCATATCTGGAAGATATTTTCATTTTTTACACAATTCTAGACTAGCAGCTTGCCCTCATCCCTGAGTCTTTCAGTACTTTCAGTTCCACTGTCTCTCTGGTGCATTGTTTCTAATGAAAATCTGCTGACACCTTTATCTTTGTTTCTCTCTCTATATGCCTTTTATGCTCTGCTTGTTTTAAAGATTTTGTTCTTATTACTATTTTTGAATAATTGGATTATAATGTTTCTTGGTGGGTTTAAGGTTTGTTGAGCTTCTTATATCTGTGGGTTTATAGTTTTCATTAAATTTTTTTTTCAGTTATCATTTCTTAAATTTTCTGTCCCCTCTTCTCTCTCCTGACTTTCCAGGATTCCAATTATACATGTATTAGTCCATTTGAATTTATCTCACAGCTCATTGATGCTCTTTGTTTGTTTTGAGTTTCTTTTCTATTTTATTTCATTTGAATAGTTTCTATTAATGTGTCTTCAAATTCACTAAACTTTTCTTTTGAATTGTCTAATCTGTTATTAATCCCACCCAGTGCACCTTTCCTCTCAGGCACTGTAGTTTTCATCTCTAGAAGTTCAGATTAGATCTGTCTTTATATCTCCTATATCTCGACTTAACATGGTCATTTTTTTCCTCTAGTTTTTAGACATATGGAATACAATTATAATTATTTTAATGCTTTATCTGCTAATTCTAATATCTGTGCTGTTCTGAGTCAATTTTTATTCGCCGATTTTTTTTCTCATTATGAATCCTACTTTCCTATTTCTTTCCATGCATGGCAGTTTTTCACTGGATGCCAGATATTCTAATTTTTACCTTGTTAAATGCCAAATAATTCTGCATTCTTATGAATATTTTTGAACTCTGTTGTGGGATACAGTTAAGTTTCTTGGAATCAGCTGGATATTTTTAGGTCTTACTTTAAAAATCTGTTAGGCAGGACCAGTTCAGCATTTAATCTGGAGGTAATTATTCCTTACTGATGATGCAAGTGTCTTCTGAGAACTCTACCCAGTTCCCTATGAATTATAGGTTTTCCACACTGGCTGGTGGGAACAGGCATCATTATTGGCATTATGGGAACAGGCATCATTATTGGCATTGTGGAGCATTTGGTACTCTTATTTCTAATCCTTTCACATGGGTTTTTCCCTGGCCTTGGGTAGTTTCCTCACATATTTGCATTGATGATACCTATATTTATTGGGGATGCTCTGTAATCTTTAGTGCTCTTTCTCTGTATGGCTTGGCTCTCTTATAAAAACACTATCCTATAAATTCTAGATACCTTGATCTTTCTGGACTCTCAGCAAGGTCTCATCAACTCAGATAATCTGCCCAACTCCTGGGTACCCACTCACTGCACCACTGCCTTATATTTCTTTCAAGGTGCTAAGGTAGGGTTATCACCAAACTCATTTTGTTCATCTCTTATGTTCAAGAATCACTGCCTTCCTTTGCCTGATGTCCAATGTCTTAAAACTATTCTTTTCTTTTTTTTAATTCAGTTGTTTTAGGAGGAGTATAAATATGTTCTGTTACTCTATCTAAGCCAAATGCAGAGGTTTTGGACTTTGTATTTTGCTATCTCTCTTCTCTCTTCTATCTTTTTCAGTTTTGTATCAATTCTCAATTCCTAGCTATATAACCTTGGCGATTACCTAACTGCTCTGAGCCTTGCTTTTTCCATGTGTAAATGGGAAAAATAATGTTACAATGATTAAAATCATAGTTATGGAAAGCATGTCAACACAAGGCTTGGATATAGTAAATATTCTAATAACGGGGACTATATTTTTGTTATCTAGATTAATGGTTTAAATCAGATGATCTTTGTAAGCTATTTCAGACCTAAAATTTTGTGATTAATTCAGTTTTGAAAATGTCATGACCTAATTAAAAAATTTAAAGCATGCCCTCAATATTCTTTTTAGCCATACACTTATGCATAAATAAAAATCAATATTTTTATATATGACAACTTCATCCCTGTCAAATTTTATTTTATAAGTTTTCTTAATTTTATTCTTTTTAAATTTTATTAATAGTACATTAAAATGCATTAAAATTTAATAGACCATTTGAAAGACAAATTTGAGTGGGGGTTTTTTTCCTAAATTTTTGCCTTTCTTCAATGCTGGAATTGACCATTTCTTAAAGTAAATCTTTCCCTTGCATTTTCACTACCAATCCAATTGCTCACCCAGGAAGTAAGGTTTTGTTTGTTTTAACTATTGATTTTTAAAAGATCAATTTAAAATGAGGTTCATAGTGCAATTCTGAAATGTTCCTAAATGTGATATTTTAGTGATAACCTAAGAAAATACTTGGTTGAATTTTTTTATGGCACTATAAAGTAATAGTCAATAAGTGACTCACTTATTGTAAGCCTTCTGGCTATAGGAGATTTTTTAATTACGGAATTTTTACTGAATAGTAACACCATTGTGCACTGGGAACCAATTTTAAATGTTCAGCATGCACATTAATTTCTTTTCTTCACATCAAAGCAACACTTCAAATAAACAAAAATTCATGACAGTAAACATGTAGTTATTTAAAAATGTGCCATCCTTATTGCATAGCAACTATTGATTTTATTATGTGCTTGTTGTGTTGTCTAAAGTAATTAGGCACAGGCATAAATTGCTATCTATTTTTTTAATGTTAAAACCATTTAGGTTATGAAGTTTTTTCCAATATGTGTGCTATATATTTATAAAGGGAATGTTTCATTCCTACACAAAGGCACAGTGACCCAAGAAAGAGATGACAATGTCATATTAGCTATTCTTTCTCATGAGAGGACTTTTATGGAAATTTTATTCATACTTTCAATAGCTAACACAGCCAAGACATAATTATCATATCTTGGCTTTACTGTTCTGGGTCTTGATTTACTGCTAAGCTAAATGATAAGACTTATTAACAAGAAGCCATGCTTTCTCAACAAAATAAAATATCCATTTATATTCTAGAAAATTATACCTGCCAAAATACTCCTGTGATGTAATTCTGTTAGAAAGATAACAAGGTCTTAGTAAGAACTTACAGAATCCTATGTAGGTTTCTTTTCATCTTCAAGTTAATTTATCATAAAGCAAGAACATAATACTCTTACACGATCAGATGCCCACACTAACTAGACCTACTCGCTGTGTTAGCAGTAGAGAATGCATCATGAAAGCAGAGAGTTCTCCAGCAGATTGTACCTGGAAGTCCCTCAGGGGGTGTGGCTGAGGAGATGAGAAACTTCTATACAAGCAAAGGGAGGAAAGTTCACTCCATCACTCTAAAAGGACCTAAGAATTCTGAGGGAAGGGAAGGGTCTGTAAATCTCTATCCCTACGAATTTCATCAGTGAAATTTCTGAGCCAAAGATGGGACATTTATAATACCTTTTGATATAGATTGCAAAACTGCTCTCCAAAAGGTTGCTGTAATTCCCAGTCCCTTAAAGAGTGAGTATGAAAGACTATCTCACTAGACTTGCAGCACAATGCAAAAGTCCCTCTATCAATTGGAATTGTGAAAAAGAATCTCTCACTGTTTTAATTTCCATTTTTTTGATTGTTAGTTAAGTCGATCATCTTTTTGTATCTTTAAACATGGATTGGTAAAGGTAGGGGAAGTGAATAAGATAGATTAGCCAATTGCATACACAGAGGCTAGTGAAAATTAGAAGGATAAAGAAGTGTGAGCTTTGGAGAAGAAGGACAAGAAAAAGACTATGCCGCAAAATAAAACAAAACAGGAATGAGGCTCTTAGAGCAACTTTCATTCATGTTCTCAAACTTAATTGTTGCCCATATGAAACTGTTGTGATAGTGGTCGTTTCTGTTAGAGACTAGAAGTGCTATCTCTGAGGGACAAGAGAAAAAGAACTGGTTTACAGCAGGCCAGTACTGGCTGAGTATGGCCAACGGCGCGAAGGCTAGAAACGAAAGTGACGAATTTACCATTGACCTGAGGCAGCAACAATACCTAAAAGGTTTCAGTCTGGTGGATGGCAGAGTTGGGGATTCCAGGTGGAGATATTCGTTTGAAAGGGCTTGTTGCTTGCGGTTACAGGTTGTAGTCACCAAAGAGAAGTATCTAATGATAACCAAACAGGGTGCCAGGACTTCAGTCAAGCAATCTGAATTTCAGTAGCCAGCTCTGGTTCTAGATGCAAATCAAAGTCACACTCAGAAAACCAAGGCAGAAGTTAGTGCTAGGGATAGGTGCCAGTGAGGGGAGAAAGGGAGTTATGAAGTCTTTAGTGCATTGTGCAGCAGCAGGCCCAGGGATCAGTTAAGGAGCATCAGAGGGTTGTGATAGGGCGATGGATAGCTGAGAAGGTAGGGGCTAACATTTTTTAAAATATTGCATACTTGTGTTCTTTAAAATGAACAAAGTAACACATATTCGTTGTTGAAACTCTTAAAATATACAGAAGTTCAAAGATAAAAATCAATGCGATTTTTAATACTCTAAGGCAAACATTTTCTTTGTAAATAGTGAGCTAAGTGTTTATTCAGTTTATACTGTCCGAAGTTCGTAAGCGAATAATTTTGTCATTTTCCATTCTTTTATATTACCTTCTTAAAAGCAGAGAAATTGTTAGAATGAAGTAATATTATCCTGCTTGTAAAGATGTAGTCAAATACAAATTCTGCCACTTTATGGGGAAAAAGGTAAGTATTTAAAAATAAAAATTACGGTTTTACATGAGAACTAAGGGCTATCTTAATCTTACAAGACTTCAAATGCTGTTCTTAACTTTTTATTCCAATTATGTTATCTAATAAGTTGGAAAAGATATATTATCATAGCTATTTTTGGTCTAGGAAATTCCAGAAGGAACCAAATGTGTTCATAGAAACAAAGAAATCTATTCGTAATAGTCTTCTGGCAAACGAACGGAACTTTCAAAAAGCAAATAAGACACATGCTGATGAAAGCTACATTATCATTACCTTTTCCTTCCAGTTATCATCATCCAGCAGCTTCTGTCTGAGGGTTTCCTGCAGCTGCTCAATGCTTTTCTGATGTGAAATCAGCATCAGTTCCCTGAAAACCATAAACCCGACAAATGAGTCAAGACTCACCCTCAACACTCTTACTAAGTGGTACATCTTGGCTCAGAGAATATAATTTCACAACTTATTCTGTTTATTCTCTTAAGCAATATACATATTGCTACTAGATATGATTTTAACTGTTAACAGTAATTTACAAACACTTCATATAAGGTAAGTATTTTGTCAGGCTTAATTTCTGTGTAATAAGTAATGTAATTTTTGCATGAAATAGTAGCAACATATACAGAATCACAAATATAATAAAATGATACACATTGTGGTTCTAAAGTTTATGACTAAATTGTAACACTAGACAATATTTTGGCTTTTTTTTTAAAGGAAACTATGTTGGGATATGCCATAAAATCAACATGTTTATGGTTTCTGCCAGATTTTTTTTTCTTTTACTTTTCTCAAATACTGATAGGAACAAACCAAATTATGTAGAGGGTAATGTCTGAGACGTGGTATAGTATGGTATAAAAAAATCATAACACTGAAAACACAAAGAACATTTTAATATCTTAATCCACATAAATGTATCTTAAAGCTTAGTTTGCTATCCTCCAGGTGGAGGTAGTGTGGGCAGTTCATGAGAACTTTCATGGGGCACTGAAATTAAACCTTTGATTATCACAAGTGGTGACAAAAACAGACTTGTTGATTAGGGCTCCTTCCCTTTTCTATAATCTCCATGACTCTTCTTATTGTCTATGTAGGCGATTTTTCTCCATTGCCTTTTTCTAAGACCTTTGTTTTCTGCCACCAACCTCTTTCTTTGAGTTTGGATCCCTATTCTCAAACTCATGACTCTCATTTATAATTGCTGTTGGACATCTCTAACGATCCATCAACACCAAAGGTTTCACACTCAAAAAACAAACCCACCATATCTCTTGCAATCTTGCCTTTCCTTCTGACTTCTCTAAACCTTTCTTTAACAGTCAACATCTTAGCTTGAAATCCCTGAGTCATCTCCAACTCTTCCTCCTTATTCTACCATATCAAAACTGCTGAAATACAGCCAACGCAGGAAGGATAAATAAATTACAGTATACTTCAGAATAAAATGTAGATGAAGAAATGAATGATTCTCAGCCACATGCATTATCATAATCTTGAGCACAAGAAAAAAATCACTGAGTAATACACATGATTTTATTTCTATAAAGATAAAATGTACACAAAATCTAACATTTTTTAGGAATACAAACATACTTGGTAAAATCATTGAATGAAGCCAAGAAATCACAGGCATAAGTTACTGTGGTTTTTGTAGATGTTTTTAATTCCTAGTTTGCTGAGAGCCACAACAGGCAGGTTGGTGGTTTCCTTCAAGGAAGAATGCAATGTGGTGGAACTGGGGAGAAGCACAAGGGACCCCAAAGCCAAAGGTAAGGTTCTTTTTCCTAAACATAAATGTTCATTGTATTGTACTTCTTGATACTTTACACCAATATAAACCTTCTATGTATGTACTCAATATTTACAAAAACAACTAAGGATGAAGCCTGAGTACAGAGTAGAATGGGTGAGTAGGGGAAAGAGGACTAAAGGGAGAGACCAAAGTGAGTATCGCGGTGGCGTTTACTGACCACTGTGCACATTATGAATAAGGCAGCATCATCAGGCCTTGCAGGGAGAGAGGTGAATTAGGTAGGCAGGGCTCCTGCCCAATGGTGCTCAAAACCCAGCAATGTAAAAGGAAGCTTTATCTTTTCAAGTGTGAGGCAGACCTAGCAGGTCCTATGCTTGCTCAGCAGTGTGTAGGCTGGAGAAAAGGAAGTGAAGCAGAAGGAACAAAGAATGAGGACAGCAAACGTAGGGGTATATTAAAAACCTCCTTTATGGCTTTCCTCCAAAGATGTGGCCATTCCTGTCTCCTCTGCAGACTTATCTTCATCTACTTGTCAATTAATATTTGTGTTCTCAGCATTTTGTTCTGGAACTTTTTTTCCCCCTCTACTCTTTCTCTAGGTGATCTTATCTACTCTTATGGTTAAAATGCAATATAGATGCTGACAGCTCCCAAATTTTATCTCTAGCTCATATCTGTTCCCTGCATAGCTGACTCATGCATCCAACTCTCTACTGACTGCTCTAATTTTATATTTCAAAGACATCCAGAACTCAACATGTCTGTAATCTCAAAGACTCACAATACTGAAGTTTGCTTGCTTGCTTGCTTGATTTGTTTGTTTGTTTGTTTGTTTATTTATTTTTGCTTATTTGGTGTCACCTGCTGCTCCGTTCCCTGTTTTGTTCCAGGATACAGGCCAAAAAGCAACTCTTACATGGAAGTTCTGACTTTGTGGCTCACCGAAAACAAAACTTGCCAAAACATAGGCTCTGTTAGAGCTTCTGCTTAGAATTGGTGCATATCATTTCTCTCACATTTCAGTGGCAAGAACAAGTCAAATGGCCAAATGTGATGTCAATAAAATGTGGGTAGCATAGTCCTCTCCCTGGGAAGTACACAGTAAGTCACCTGGCCCTGGGTGGAGTCCATTGCCACTCTGAAATCCCACTGGAAACCACTACGAGGCTTCCTACCCTGGAGGTGGGAAACAACATTCTTGCTTAGTCTATGGTTCTTTCCCATGGAAGTGATTCCTCAGCCCAGTTTTCACTGCAGCTCCTGGTTTTGCTCTCTGACATGTACTTGTCAATGTTGGCTGGATGAGAAGAAGGCGTTAGTGATCTTGCCCTGCTGGGAAACAGCTTCCTCAACTTCCTTCCTTTCCATAGACAATTTACTGTATATAGCAAAAGGGACTTTGCAGGTGTGATTAAGGATCTTAGGATGTGGAAATAAAGTAGAGCTTCAGCTGATTTTCGAAATGCCAGTGTCATAGAATGGCTGCGGCTGGCCATGTGAGTATTAGAAATGGCCAGGCAGCAGAGTTCTGACAATCTCATCTACTTTATTTCGTAAGCCGGGTTTCCTGTTTGAAGAGTTCTTTCTGATTAGAAAACTCCAAGGAGGATTTTCAGACAGGTGTCTGTGAGTACATTATGAATTACCTTTACCATAAAATGGATTGACTATTTGAGGTACTTGGATTTCAGTCTCCCTGGAGACAGTTATAATTTTCATGGATACCACCAAAAGTAGAATCCATTCCATATACATTCCTCTCGTGAACCCAGTATGAAACACCATTGTTAAGTGTATCCTTTTAGAAAAAAAACTGTGAAAGTCCAGTCGGTTAGGGAAGCTAAAGTATAGACCAAGGTTTAAACAATGTTAATACACTATAATTATTCACTGAATTTTCAGAGAATTATGAAGTTCCTTATGAATTTGTGCAAAGTATAAGGTGTTTTGAGGAAACTGTTATAAAAATCACGGATTTGTGCCTGTGGTGGTAAGCTTGTTTGATACCTATGACTACAGAAATAAGGATTTTCATATATCTTTGGTTCCTGCTAAACCTCTCTGTTCCTGACTCTAAAAACTCTTCCATGTGATTCTTTCATGGGACGAGGCAGAAAGAATAATTATATGTGATGTTGCAAACACTTAACTGTCCTCGATTAGCATGGAATGTGCATTGAGTAATGCATACAGAGATGATTAAATGTATGAAAAAAAGATAATCCTGATTTAAAAATAAAAACCACACTTACACAGTATACTAATGGAAGAGCTTGCACATTGCTCAGGAATACAAAACCATCTTATGAAACTGATCAAGAAAAAACAATCTTGTGCTGAAAGGACCTCTTAAAAAATCAACTTTGACTCTAGTGAACCCTTCTGCTAGAAATCTAAAAGAATGATAAGAAATAAAACATAATTATTAGAGGCATAGTCCTATTTTTCATGTTATAAAAAGCTGAAAATGTGCAGCTGTTTTTGATATCATGTAGATATCCAATTTCCTCTTTAGAACCAAACCAGTTCTATAGATACTGCTGCTTTAGATTTATAGGAAACAACACAAATTGAGGTCCTAAATTTGGATTTACTAAGAATCCAATAAAAAAGATTTTCACTAGAATACAGGATTGTACTCCCAGCTCTGATTTTTGGCAAGTCAGAGACTCTCTGAGCCTGAAAGAAACACTGGAAGCTGTGGTTAAATTCATTCCCACCCATATATCCATACATCCATACATCTAATATACTCAAATAGTTATTGAGTGCCTACTAGGTGTCAGGCACTGTTTCGGTTTAGTGGTTTTTTTCTTGCCAGTCTTTGGAAATACATTGATGCAGTCTCCCAACTTTTAGAGGAAATGAAGTTTTCTTAAGTGATGTGATTCACAAGAGGCAATGCTGCTCCAGCTCATAAGAGTGCGGGGCCCTCTGCGGGATGTTGCGCTGCCTCTGCTCCTCCTATGTGAGAGAAGGGGTGGCTGTCTGTAGCATTCTAGCCTGCAATTTCACCAGACAGATATTTTCTAAAATAAGGTTTTCGGAGTTGGCACAATTGGAAAACTAGGATCTACTCATAATTAAGAGTGCTTATTTTTAAAACTTTAACTTTTAAATTCTTGGGCCAAAATGAAAATGAGAATCTAATTTCTTATACACATGCAAAAAATCAATACTCCCTTAATTGCAGTTAAAAACCTAACTGCAAACAAATGTCAAACCATAATGCTAAATGACAGCTTTCAATTATCTTCACATTGTCAATCAAACTGATGTTTGATTTTGCCACAACGTCTGCCTTCATTAAAAGTAGTAAGCCTGTGGTAACATAAGAAGTCAATCTCTTGTTCTGAGAGCTGTTGATGGATAAGAAATTAGAGAAAGAAATAAGTCATGTAGGAGGAACCCAATGAGGTTTGTTATTCCAGAATGATATTACTTAGGCCAATTCATTCCATAACCCTTTAAACTAATAGGATAGCATCCAAATTGAATCACTCCATGGACTAATTTTTAGAACTTTAAGAGTAAGGCAGATAATCTTAAATTCAGCATTTACTAAATATCTACGTCACCAGTGCAGGATATAAAAAGTAATAAGGTATGAT